TAAATATATAAAAAGATTGTAAATGGACGGTCTAGATAATGTGTTGCAAGATGCACAATTTTCGGTACTCAAAAACTTTTTTTTTTTCATATTCATATATCTCAATGTCGAGGTGATAGATTAGAGGGTTTATTCAACAATAAAATAACATTTCCGATAGATTTTTGAGGTGATCCGTGATTCTACATTTTAAGGTTGCAACCTTATATAAACTTTTCCCTTTAAAATATGGATTGAAAACTTTAAAAGTGAAGTAAAAGAAAACAAAAAAATTGGATTGTAGTCTTGTAAATGTGGAGGTGGGGTCAAGGTTTGAGCTCAAAATTCTAGGAAATAATTCACTTGAAGAAAGAGAGTTTTAGAGAGAGAGAGTTTTGAAAGGTCTGCGTACTTTACCAGGACAGCTACTTGAAGAGAGAGAAACTTTCCTCCATATACAACATTATAGAACTTGTGCAACCCTATCATATGCTATATAGTACATAAACATATCATGATAGTAGAAAATATTTGAGGAAAGATAAATTTTTAGAGAGAGAAAATATTTGAAGAAAGATAAACTTTTAGAGAGAGAGTTCTCAAAGCTCTTTGTACTTTATCAAGATGAATATTTGAGAAAATAGGAAACTTTTGCCCCAATTCTCTAGTGCAACTGTATCTTACTCTAGAAGTTTTAGAGGGGGAAAAAGATTTTATAAAGGCGATGTCTTAAACAATCAAATTGAAGTGCATCTCAAAATTTACTAAAAAAAGTTGTTTTGATGCTTAAAAACCCTCTATCCAATCATATCGACCTCAAGATGTATGAAAATGAGATAAAATAGATTTTAAATCTTAAAACAAGTGTATGCGCAATTTACATTATTTTTAAAATTTAAAATTTTACAATTGGAGATGAAAATAAATTTTCAAAACATTACGATGATTTATGGTATTGAAATAACATGTTTCAACACCATTTGAATGTGCATCTTACTTTGATTATTTAGGGCCCTAGCCTTATACAAACAACACTCGAAAGGGTTTTCAAAGCTCTATATACTTTACCCAAATGAATATTTGAAGAAAGAGATAATATTTTACCCATTTTCTATAGAACATCGTACAAAATAAATGTAACTCTTACCATACTCAAGGGTACATTTACATATCAAGAGGGAGAGACAATTTTGCATTTCTCCTTTTACCCTTTATATTATTTGAATGTGCAGTTATCAAGATTCTTCGTTGACCTGGTCCAATATAAAAATTAGATTTGATAAAAAAATATTTTACGATCAAATTTGACTGGTTTTGATAAGTTCGATCGATAAAAAGTACAATTTTTTTTTTGACATGTTATATATTTTTGAACTATCATTCATATTTTTTATAACTCAATAAAATTAGTTTCAACAATAATAAGACCAATCAAATTAGTTTCGATCAATAGTAAGACCAAATTTGACTAGACCAAACTTTTTAGAAATTAAATGACTAATACCAAACTTAAAACAAGGAAACAAAAAAAGTTGGGACTCGGATATGATAAATCCTAGACCTTGGGGTTTGAGTTTTTGGGCCTAAAGCTTCATAAGGAATAATGAATTTTGGGGTATCCCAAGAATAAAAAAATTAAAAAGATTTAAATTATTATTATTTTGTTTGTTTGTTATTTTACTGTTTACATTTTTATGGCAATTGACAGGTGGGTTGGATTCAAAGTTTCTCATTTTCTTTCTCTATCTTTTGCTTAGAAAAGCAAAGGCGTTTTGGTGTGGGCAAGTAAGAGAGGGACTCTGGTTGCTTTGTCAAGGCCATGAGGGACAGTAGAGAGAGAAAGTGTAGAGAGAGAGAGTGGATTTATAAAGACCTCCCCACACGAGGGGTTTTCTCTTCCTTTTTAAGTCTCAGGGATTGACACTAAATTTTGGGTCCTGACTCAGTCTTTTCCTCTCATCTGTTTCTTTCACTACCTCCAAACTAACTGTGTGGGTTTCTGCAACTCCTCTCCCCCAATCCTCTCTCTCTCTCTCTCTCTACTAAACGAACCAGATAACAACTCCCTTCCTTTCAATCCCATCTTTCTCTCTCTACCCTGCAACACCCATCTATCTTTCTAATCAGCAACACCCATCTCTCTCTCTAACCTGCAATACCCATCTCTCTCTCTAGATTCTTGGTTGGTGTATATATATATATATAGAGAGAGAGAGAGAGAAGAGAGAGAGAGAGAGAGATTGAAAATGAGTGAGCCCAATCCATATTCTCAAAAAATCAGAAATGGGTTCTCAGAGATAGGCTTTCAGGGGGATTTCATGGGCTCTCTCTCTTACCCTCATCAAAGAACCAGCAATAGTCACAGCAACAGTAATAGTAACAGTGAGAGTTACAGTAAAAGCCCTAAAGCTCTGGGGCTGTTCTCTTCCTCTTCTTCAGGTGAGACCCAGAGCAAGAGGGAGATGGGTTTTCAGGTTTTGAGCCCAGCCAAACAGAGCAAGAGGAAAGTTTTGAGCTTTCAGTCATCGATGGAGGATAGTGAGAGGAAGGGAGGGACGGAAGACTGTTACAGGGATGAGAGAGAGAGCCATGAGGAAGAGCCCATGGGGAATTGTGGTGGGAAGGAGAATGAAGATAGGCATTCTAAGCTCTGTGCCCGAGGCCATTGGAGACCAGCTGAGGATGCAAAGCTTAAGGAGCTTGTTGCTCAGTTTGGTCCCCAAAACTGGAACGTCATTGCTGAAAGGCTTGAAGGAAGATCAGGTAATGAGGAGAGAGAAAACCCCAAATGCAGAGAGAGAAAGAGAGAGAGAGAAGTGTGCTTTTTTAGGTTACTGGGCTCATTGCATATCTCTCAGTTTTGATTGCTGATTCAGGTAAAGAAATTAATGAGAGAGAAGAGAGAGAAAAAACAAAAATTTTATCTTCTCTCTCTGTTTCTTTCTCTCTCCTTTCTTTGCATCAAGAAAATACCAAAAACCCAATTTTCTTATCAAGAAATCCAATAGCAAAAATTACAAGAAAATCCTAGAAAGATGACAAAAAAATAAAAAAAATAAAAAAATTTCCATGCACTTGATCTTCCACTTCTCCATTTTTCTCTCTTGATTTTTTTCCCCCTCTCTCTCATCACAGGTAAGAGTTGCAGGCTCAGATGGTTCAATCAGTTGGACCCAAGAATCAATAGGAGGGCTTTCAGTGAAGAAGAAGAAGAGAGACTCTTAGCTGCTCATAGGTTATATGGCAACAAATGGGCCATGATTGCTAGGCTCTTTCCTGGCAGGACTGATAATGCAGTGAAAAACCATTGGCATGTGATAATGGCAAGAAAATACAGAGAGCAATCCAATGCATATAGGAGGAGGAAGTCTCTGCCACAGCAGCAACAACCAACAATGCAGAGGAAGGTTGAGACTAGCAATGGACGCGGAGCAAGTGATTCTTCGATTTTGAGTAACAGGGATGAATCTGCCTCGACATGCACTGATTTGTCTCTCAATTCTTCAAATAGCAGGGCGTTTCCTGGTTTTTACAGTAGATTTGGCACTCTGCAACATCAGGGTATGGATTTTTCCCTCTCTCGCTACTTGTGAATGATCTCAAATTAATTTTTTTTTGAATTTGATTAGGGTTTGTGAGTCAATTTCTTTTGCATGTTTTTTGATATTCAGTCACTGGAAATCACATTGGTACATTTTTTTTTAATATGTAATGCTGCATTTTTTTTTTTTTTCACTTTTTTCCTTCTTTTGGATGTTATATTTTCATCTGGTTATTCTCCTGCTACACACTTGGGTTCTAAGCCTCATGCATTTTGTTTTTTGTGCATTGTGGTCTCTCTATTTAGTAGGTTTCAATTTATTATTTATTTATTCCTCCCTCTCTCTTTTTTATTTTTATTTTTATTATATGTAATGGGTTTGGCCTGTTTCTGCTTGGGTTTGTGTTCTCTTTTCAAGTTCTTAACCGGCTTTGAGTTCTTGGTTGTATTTTTTCTAATTTCCTTTTTTTTGTATTTTTTCGTATTTGGTTTTACTACCATTTGTTTGGTGGTTTAGAATTTGGCCTTTCTTTTTAAGCCCTAGTCTGATTTGGGGTGCTTCTCCATTATCCTCCTTTTCATGGATTTTCCATTGGTTTTGTTAAATTCATAATTTGAAATTGGTTTTTGACTTGTTTTGGGATATCTCTCTCTACTATGTTTTCTTTCTGCATTTTCCTTATGTATTTCAGCCTCATTTGCTCTCTCTTCTCTCTCTCTCTTGTTCCCAAAGTATTGCAATCTCTCTCTCTCATGCATGCAATGTCTGTGCATTTATCTAATTTTGTTGGTATTTTTTTTCCTTTTTTTTTGCAGGTGAGGAAGAGAAGAACAAAGCTTTGGGCAATGGAACCATGGAAAAGTCTGAGGGACCAACAAATGGGTTTTACTTCTCTCTCCCTCCACCTCCTCAGATGGTGTTACTGAAGCAGTCAGACTCTGAATTCCTTCAAACTTCATCAATGGTCGGTGAGAGCAGGAGAGAGAGAGACCATCAGTTTGTGTACGGCGAAATCAATCATAAGAGTGAGAAAATGAACCTGCTTTTCATTGATTTCCTTGGAGTTGGAGCGACCTGAGAGGAGACAATAAGGGGCTAAATACTTTAAAAAGGAGGAGGGGGAAGCCATTAAAGCTCTCTCCTTTAAGCAAGCAATAGTGAACAGTGGAAGTAACTGAGAAAACACAGAGGCTAGATTCACTGTTTTTGTACAGACAAACCCAGAAAAGAGAAATGAGGAAAAGGGAGGGGGGTTTTGTTCATGGGAGTTCTCTCTCTCTAACAATGAGGAAAAGAGGGGGTTTTGTTCATGAGAATTCCCTGTCTCTTTATTCACCTGTTTCAAGTAAAAAAAAAGAAAAGAGAGTTCTCTCTCATTTTGTTCATGGGATTGCCCATTTTTCTCTCTTATTTTGTTCATGGGATTGCCCATTTTTCTCTCTTATTTTGTTCATGGGTTGCTCTCTCTCTCTCTCAACTTCCTGTTAGGGTCTATATCTCCTCTCTCTCTCTCTCTCTCTCTCTCTCTCTCTCTGTAGGGCTCCATATATTCCTCTAGTTTTGAATGCAAGCCCAATTTTTTTTTCACCTTTTACAAGAAAATCATATCTAGTACAAAGTAATTTGGGAAGTGAAATTCATCATATTACACTGACACTGGCCTCTTCACTGTTTTTTTTTTTTTTGGTAATTCAGTGGTAAATTGAAATTCATCAAGTTACACTGTCCATTGCATTATTTTTTTTGGGTAATTTAGTCGGGAATACATGCCATTATCTATTTTTGAATTTTTGAAATGATTAGTGGTTTTTAAAGATGTTAGTGAGAATAAAAACCATAACGTACAACTAAAGTATTGGGGCCGGCCCCTTTTTGAAACTTTATTGGTTTTTTTATTAATGGTTTGTATATAACAAGATTCATTGATACAAGGAGGAGGTTACAATCACACTTTTAATCATTAAATATGAAATTGGACCGGTGGCTTAAATAGGTGTATTTTAGACTTTGAGTCTGGTCAATGATTAGTCTCATTTTACAACCATCAAGTTAAAAGTAATTGTGATCTCTTTGTAATATTTTTTATTGGGTGGTTTGGTGAAATTGAACTTGACATAGGATGTTGCTAAATGTGGGTGTGAGTTTAATTTCACAACCTACAAGTTAAGAGCAATTTTTTGTCTTTGGAGAAGTATATAATGAAATTATTTATCTTTGGTGCAAAATTATCACAATTAATCTTGATCCTTTGATGTGCATCGGGTGGTTGCATTTATTCTATTGATTAAGCTCAAAGTTCAAATAGAATTTTTTTGAACTTTATAATACATCCAACTTATCAGATTTTCATCTCAAATGGTTATAAATAATTACGAATTCTTTGTATTAAAGGTAAATAGTCTTATTATATACAAATCTTTTTTTTTTTTTGATTAGTTTGATGGAATTAAACTTGAAATATGACGTTATTAAATGTCAGCTACTAACCATTAGAGCCAAAGCCTAATTCCGGATCTCGTTGTAGCTAAGTTGGACAATCTTTTTGTATATTTTTGTTTTAAAAAGAATGTGTAAACGAAAAATAATTCATTGGTTGTAGCCATGGCTTTACAAAGAAACTGCAGTTTTAGTGCTGAAAAACTTGCAAATAGGATCATGACAATCATAAATATGGATTAAAAAAAAAGGGGGCATGTTTTAGTTTCTAAAATGGTCTACATTTTGACATGTTTTATTTCAAGTTCTAGAATTATCGTGTAACATGTTTTCTGTCATTTTCAAGTGTTTACTCCACATTAGTCATTAGTTTTGGTTCTTATTTCATTTAAATGAAGTTTTGTCTCGTGTAAAACTAGATTTTCAAGCCATCATAAATTTTTTTAGGAGATGTGACTTTATAGATGTAGTTTGTATAAGATTACGGCCCTAAACAATCCAAATAAAACGCACCTTCAAATAATGTCGAAAGATACATCTTTGTGATGGCCTGAAGATTTATTTTAATCTCTAATAATGCATTGCAAGACTTAAAAGGTCATGATTAAATTGAATGGTCACATTGTAAGTCTTGTATGGGAAACGTTTATTTGTGCATGACTACATGAGAAACCTTTATTTGTACAAACATAAATTTTTTTTTTATTTTGTTTTTAAACTGACTAATACTTTTAAAATAATTACAATGAGTGGTATATACAAAAATAAGTTGCCTGGCTATAGACAAAAGAAGCTAATACTAATAAAGGCAAACGGCATAATAAAATTTGTGTGTTTGGAGGCCCACCACAGTCGTATGATTCTCACTATCAGATGAGAACAATGTTATTAATCTGATCCTAAGTGTGGGTTGAGAACAATTTCACGCACTGGTTCTAACTGTGTTTGTGTTATAATATATGTAATATGTGATATTATATTCGACTCATTTTCCATTGTTCAACCGATAGGCTCGATGTCTCCAAGAATGTAACTAAGATGTGTGTGGAGATACAGAGGGCCCATTTAGATTGTTAATCTTAGGTTTAGATTATCTTATTTGAAATTAATATAATTTGAATAATGCTATTTTGTTAATTGTTGGTACATAATTTGTAGTATGCACTATATTGTTTAATTATTTAACTTTGGGCGAGGTTTTTCTAAGGCCTCAACCTTAAACAAGTAAGGCACACATCCAAATTGTACGTAAAGATACAATTCTGACTCCAGCATGCCTTGCAATAGTATGAAATTTATTTTCACCCCCAATTACGAATTTTAAAGTTAAAAAAAAAAGTTCAGATTGAGTAGTTCTATAAACATTTAAAAAATCATGAAGAATGGATAGTCTAGATAATATATAACAAGATACACTATTTTTTGTATCCATATATGTTGAAGTCAATATTATAAATAAGAAGGTTTTCTAGCATTACAATAATTTTTTGGGTTTCTAAGATGCACCTTACTTCTATAGCACGACTTTGATACATTATACGTACTTTTTCGTTTAGCTTTTTGGCATTTTCAACTATTTTATTTATTTATAATTAAGAACATGTGATTATCAACAAATTATTTTAAATAATTTAAAAATAACTTTTTTAAAAAAATAAACTTATATATAAAACTACCTAAAAGTCTATATCTAATAACTTTACATGGGATTAAGCCAAAAAGCCGACAGTGCATTATCATGACGGATTCTATTGGAACGATAAATTATCAGTGATAATAAGTACATCCAAACAAAACCACATGGTCATGGCCTATGTATCTCAATAATTGTGGTTGAGCTTTGAGAAATGGAAATTCACCTTGATTCAAACTCCATAACACTTTTGTAGATTAAGAGGCCAATTATGGTAATTTTGTATCTCCATCTTAGGTTAAAGAAGTTAACCTAGATTATTAGGCCAATTATGGTAATTTTATATCTCCATCTTAGGTTAAAGGAATTAAACTTTGATGGTTGTGAAGGAAAAAGGTAGTTAAGCATTAAAGGAGAGACACAAAGGTGACAAATATGGATACATAGTATCCATAAGATCTCCATGTGTAAGCAGGCATTAACTAGCATGACTTTTGAACTTTTTAAAATCCTATTCCTATTCTCTCTCTCTCTCTCTTAATATATTTCTTCAGGGATGAAAATAGTTTTTCCACACTGTTACAAAAGTTTATGGAAATTGAATAACATTTATTGTAGGTTTACTGTTTAATAGAACTGAGAGATTTTTAAAAGGTTGCGACTTTAAACAATCTCAGTAAGGTGCTTCTTCAAACTTTGTCATAATTTAGATATCAAAATTTTTTAGGATGGCTAAAGAATATATTTTCATCGTTAATTTTAAACTTCAAAAATCGATCAAATCAAGCGTACCTATAAATGTATGAAAATCTTGAAAAGGGATGGTCTGGATAATGTGTTATAAATGTATTAGTTTTGGAACATGAAATCTTTTTTTTTCCATATTAATATGGATGCGGTTAGCATGCGGCCAAGCCCGTACAGGTAGAAATGCAAGCTTGGCAATAAATATATTTTTTAAATGTAATTTGATCATAATTTTTAGAGAATATATAATCTTCAACATAGAGATCACAAATATGAAAAAATAAATAAATTTTGAAAGCTAGAAATAATAAACATCTGGATCATTAGTTACAAATGATTTTAGATGGACCACCTATTGGCATCCATCTTAAGATGAATGCTTTATACCTCTGGTCCGCATATTGTACAAATACGATCGAGTCTGCATAAACAATTGTTCTATTACTATATAGGATTGTCCGTAAAGAAACCATTCATAGGGTGCGGTTTGTATAGAGCCTAGGCTCTAAACAATCAAACGAGAGCCTACCTTCAAATATTGTCGAGAAATGTGGTTTTAATACCGGAAATTTTTTTAGTCGCCTTAAAATATATTTTTATATTTATTTATGAAGTTTAAAGCTTACAAAATATTGTAGATCAACAGATCTATGACAACTTGAAAATCTTGAAAATTGACAGTCCAAAAATGAGTTATAAAATGCATTATTTTCAAAACTTGAAATCCATTTTTTTTCTTGTGTCCATGCATCTTGATGTTGAGATGATCAATTTGAAGATATTTGGGCATCAAGATAACTTGCTTTAGTGAATTCTTTAAGGTAGGCTCAAATTTGATTGTTTGGAACCTCAGCTCTATATAAACTTTTCCCTTTATCTTTTGTAGAAAGTGGTCACAAACACTATTGTATTTCAAAATAGGTGCTTATAAAAGTGTCATTGGACGCAAAGTTCCCAAAAAAATCTTGGACTTTGTAACTCATCATAAGTCGTCCAATTTAACATCTATTGAGTGAGAATAGTTGTGACCTCCTTATATGAAAGGTAAATGATCTTTTTATATAGGGTGCAGTTAGCATACGGATGCATCCGTAGCTGTCGAGGTAAGTTTCACCTTCAAATTTTATCATGGTATATAATTTTGATGTAAAATGTTCTTAGGATTATCTCAAAATCTATTTTTATATCTAATTATAAAATTTTAAATTTAAAAAATGGTTAAAATCAAAGTAGATCTATAAACATATGAATATCTTGAAAATAGACGATATAGATAATATGCTGTAAAATGCACTATTTCTGAGACTTAAAATCTTTTTATTTTTCATGGTCATACATCTCGATTTCGAGATGATCAATCAAAGGGTTTCAACATTAAAACTACATTTTCCGATGAATTTTTGAGGTGCATCCGTAATTCTACATTATAAGGTTGCCCCCTTATATAATTTTTTTTCCTTTTATATATAATCCATTAAAAACATCTTGATATCAAGATGATTTTCAATGTCGAAAGAGTCTTTTCCGATAGAATTTTGAAGTGCACCTTAATTCTACAATTTAAAGTCT